AGCATCCCTTTAAAGCTCACGTTTGGGCTGCGATTAACATTAAGGGGAAAATTGGAATGCACATATTCACAGAGAATTTAAATCGCCACTTATATTGGGAAAGCCTCAACAATCATTTATACGATAATGCTGATAACTTGCTGGGTCACAACTGGGTATTTCAGCAGGATAATGACCCAAAACATACATCCCATGACGTTCAGAGTGTCTTGAAGTCTCGTCTTCCACGACGTGTTCTTCCTTGGCCTTTGTACAGTCCAGTTCTCAATCCAATTGAGAATGTCTGGGCTGTTCTGAAGCACAATATTGAAAACGCATTAAGAACATGGTGGCGGAAAAAGTAAAAATCTCTCAGTCCGTTTTTTTAAATTTAATTAGGGAGGAATGGGATGGTCTCGCGAAAAAAGTCATAGTCAACAGCATTAGTAGTATGAAAAATAGAATTCAAGCTTGTATTGATGCTGAAGGAGGCCATACTAAATATTAAGTAATTAATAAAATTTGTAGCCCTAATGTTTGGCTTTCATTAGAATTTTTGGATTTGTTTTTATCTTTCAAGCTGAGCTCATTACGTCCCAAAAACTGACCGTCATTACTTTTGCCGGGGACTGTAACGACATACGACATACAATTCATATGCTCGACAAACGAAATCCCGAATATCGGCATCCCAAATGAACGAAATCCGAATGAGTGAAATCTTGAATGCGCGGAATTCCGTGTATTCGGGATATCATTTATTCGGGATTTCGATCATTTCGTTTGTCGGGCTTATGAATCGTGTTTGGTGTACCGGATACAAAAGAAACATCATGTTCAAGAAATTTCATGTCGCATCCATGTATTACATTAATTAGTAGTACATGTACGTCGAAATTATAACTTATTCATCCATGGCGATAGGACACGAATAGATTCTTTACCATTACATATCACTGACGTCGCCGCCGTTATTACACACATGCATATGTATGATGTGAAACGTAGTTTTATGCTTGCTATTCTCGTATGATATTATTTTTTCTAACATAAAAATGTCCGAAATTAAACAACCAAATGTCGTCCTTACCAGGAACTATCAAAGACGAACAAAAGGCATCCGAGTGGTATTTGAAAGCAGCAGAATTAGGACAAATTAACGCATAATATAAGTTTGCTTTCTGTTATGAAAATGGAAAGGAACTATCAAAGATAAAGAAAAAGCGCTCGAGTGGTATTTGAAAGTAGCAGAGTCAGGACATCTTAACGCACAATATAATCTTGCTTTATGTTATCAAAATGAAGTTGGGACAATTAGAAATGAACAAAAAGCATTGAGTGGTACTTGAAAGCAGCAGAATCAGGATAACTTGACGCACAATTTAGGCTTGCTTGCTGTACCAAAATATAAAGGGAACAATCAAAGATGAACAAACATTCGAGTGGTACTTGAAGGCAACAGAGTCAGGACAACTCAACGCACAATATAATCTTGCATTCTGTTACAAAAATGGAAAGGAACTATCAAAGAGCATCCGAATGGTACTTGAAAGCAGCAGAGTCAGGACTCCTTAGCGCACAACATAATCTTGCTTTATGTTATAAAAATGGTGTTGGGACAATTGGAAATGAACAAAAAGCATTCGAGTGGTACTTGAAAGCAGCAGAGTCAGGACATCTTAACGCACAAAACAAACTTGCTATCTGTTATCAAAATGGAGTTGGGACGATTAAAAATGAACAAAAAGCATTCGAGTTGGTCTTGAAAGAAGAGGAGTCAAGAAATCTTATCACAGAACATAATCTTGCCTTAGCCTAAAAATATGAAGACAAAGAATTACTTTTAAAATCTGCTATATCAGGTTTTGAAAGTAGCCAATTTTTATTAAGATTTAGTTATGAAGAAATTTAAATACAAAAGAAATGGAAGAAGCAGTATTCAAATCTCTTTTAGGTTAGTCTGAATATGGTATTTCTTTGTTCTATTTTCAATGTATGAATGTGGAGAAAGAACAATCAGAAATCATTATAAAGCATTTGATGAGCTGCAGAGTCCGGATATCATAAACTCAATTTGTGTTTCAAAAAATTTCGAATTAGTATTAGCTTTGTATTGGTATCGAAAAGCTGTAGAAAACGGACATGATAGAGCTCCCGAAATGGTCGAGTCTTTCAATTTTGAAAGAATTATATTTTAATCAGTCGCTAAATAGTTTATCTTGATATTTCATTCATTTTAGATAACTCATTTAGAATATTTCTATTATTTAAATTTGAATTTAATGTGCATTTTAAAATTAATTCATACATTTATAGAATCATTTGTCGATTTTAGGCACAAATTGTTTATTTTATTGTTATTAATATGCTTTAATTAAGCATCGATTTAGACGACTTATTTAATATCCTATCGCTATTAATTTTGAGTAGCAAAATATATGTATTAATATTATATATGTAAACTCAAAATGGAAGCAATTGATGGCAGTTTCGCACATATTGATGAGTTCGTATGAAACATTCATCAAGAAAGTAGAACAAAGAATATGAATGTTAACACAAGTGCAATAAGTATTTGAAACCCCTTAAATAATATCTCATAATCATATCAGTCTTGTTATTAAATTACCATCACAAATATTTTAGATTTTATCATTAAGATATATTCAAGAATTATAGAAATTTTAATAATGATTAGTTATTAATTTTATTTTTTCAATATTCTTTGTAGTTTAGAATATATTTATAAATATTCTTAACTAATAATAATAATATTATAATTACTTATAAATTTTATATGATTTGATTAAAGGAATGTAAGTACATTATGAATATAATATAATTACTTCTAGCATAATGCTATTAGACTTTAATAAATTAAATTTAATATGATAAAATGTAACCTATAAATACTTTTTTGTGAAAAAAGAATGAATATGGTTTTATAGTTTGTATCGTTATTATAAGACATTTGATGTCTCTTCGTGGCAATAAATAAAAAATAAGTCAACAAATTATAGTATCATCGTGCTCAACAAAAATATTTCAAATACTTTTTGGTATGATTTACTCGATATAATTATTGGTTCAATTTTGAAAATTGCATCTATTGCAAAAGTCTTGTCATACATGTGAGATTACTCAAATTATTGTACGAAACATCATACAATAATAGGTATGCCTGAGATTAAACAGTCAAATAAGTTATTGAGTTGTTAGGATTTCAGCTGGCTATCATTTCATGTTTCAAAGAGTTAAAAATGCTTTATAGTTTGTATAGAGTTACTTGCAACTGGATATCATGATCTTATGAAACTTGTGTTATTTGTTCTCGACAGATCACCTCCTTTATCCTTTATCTGCTGTGATTCATTATAAAAAACTAGTTCTTGTTATCATTAAATGTATATTTAGGTTATAAAGAAAATTTCTGAATTGGTGTATTTACATAGTTCCAAGAATTGCGAGGAAGATTAAACGAATTCATATTTTAAATGGAAATAGTAATATACAAAACTTGTATACTGATTGGATTTTTATATGTATCTAGCTGACGCATTCTTTTACAAATCCACAAGAATGGATCTATAGCCCGATTCATTTTTTGTGCGAAGAAAATACACGAGTTGAGGCTGTTTATATAACTTTCTATACCGAGTTAGAATGTGCTACCATGTTTATGGGGAAACCATGCGGAAATTGCGATGATCTAATATAAACTTTGCCGTGAACCCACGTGGAATCCATCGGATCTGAATGTTTGATGTTTGACCGTCAAATTTATTTATTTTCCTCCTAATTTTTGAAACACTTACGACTGTTCAAAACTCCGTCGTAATTCGAAAATTTGCTTGGGAAGGGAATTCTAGCATGATATCAATCTTTTATACTACCATAGATAAATTGAAAATCGACCAGTTCTCCCCCTATAGATACATGTATCAGCAGCGGATGTTTCAGACAATGATAACAATGATATAAACAATCAAAAAAAAGGGCTGTTGCGGATAATAGAAGTTACGCCATGTAGCACAAAATACTTTTTGTACATCTATAACGATTCCATTTATCGACTGATTAGTTGTAATAATAAAAAATCTCATGAATTTTTCAAAAATTTCATTCTCGACAATTAAATAGCACATGTATCTTATATCTTAGGACGGAGTACTGAATAGCAACTGATTTAAATCTATTGATTCGTTGCTGACCATATGAAAAAATCTTATACTATTGGCATTTATGATCAATAATTCCCCCTAACGTCCAAACTTTCGCCGCCATCAACCCTTTTTGCCTTTTTTGGAAATCTCGGAAATTTGGTTGAAGTTTATTTCTTTATCACAACGTGCTTCATGCATTAATCTGGAAATTTCTATTTGGTAATTGACAAAAAGAGCGTTTCACTTTCTGTTTCACTTTCTCAATCAAGATTAAAAATAAAGAGATTTGTGACGTGGTGTAAATGATAACTTTAAATAACATTCTAAAAGAATTTTCTCTTATTGTTACCTGATAATATTAAAACATCACCAATAATTATTATTTTTTATTAATTTGTATAACTAAAATAATGCATGTATCTAATAAAACTAATCAACACCCGTGTGCTGTGCATGTATTGAGACCAACCAACGCGTAATTGGATAAAGAATACAAAGAATTCAAAATGCCCGCATTTAATATAAAAGCAATCTTCACCATCAAAATGGTTCTTAAAAAAAAAAAGAAAGAAACGTAGCTTGATGTCGGGTCTCTCTTTATTATCATAGCCTTTCACTCATTAACGGCGTATAATTTATCTTTTAATACGTATTTCTTTTTTTACCACTTTTTTTTATTTTTTTTTCTCTTAGATACACGTTTCTATAGAGATAGAGTGTTCTTCATTGTATACTATTATAATTATTTGCACGTACATAATAACATCAGCGTCTTTCACAAATTAGATAATAATAATATTTATTATTACAATAGAGACCCGATAAAATTATCATCTTAATAAAATTATAGAAATAAAAATGTCAAAATACACATTTACCACAGCATTAATCTTCGTCATATTCTTCATAACTACCGCACGTAGTAATTTATTACTTCAAAAACGTGACTCGTTCTCGGGTGATGGCACTTACTATAATACTGGACTAGGTGCTTGTGGCGTCGTGAACAGTGATAGTGATTTGATTGCCGCTATTGTAAGTGATCGCGCCCGGTAACCTACAAATAATAGTGATTTATATATCTAATCAGTGATTATTATTTATAGAATAAACCTCAGTGGGGCGATCCAGCGAATCCAAATCAGAACCCAATCTGTGGTAAACAAGCATATGTTACCGGTCCAAAAGGTTCTGTAACGGTTAAAATTATGGATATGGTAAATGTCAATTAAAGAATCAACAAGTCTATTTATTATTCTTGAGTTGTCTTCTAATTTTTGTTTCTCAATTTACAAAGTGTCCGGAATGTGCTTATGGTAGTTTAGATTTTTCTCCATCAGCATTTAATTATATAGCAGACCAAAGCGCTGGACGTGTTCACATTACTTGGAGTTGGGTCGATGGTGGAGGCAGTTCATCAGGATCCGGATCCTCATCAGGATCAGGATCATGCGGGGGAGCTACCTGCACATCCGACGCTCCATGCTGTAGCCAATACAACTATTGTGGTTCAACTAGCGATCACTGTGGAACCGGCTGTCAACCAGGCAAAAGTTTCGCTGGCAAATGTGTTTCTGGCTCGACTACTACTACTACTACTGCTACTTCGACCAAGACCACCTCTACTACTGCTGCTACTACTAGTCAATCATCTAGTCAATGCGGGGGAGCTACCTGCACATCCGATGCTCCATGCTGTAGCCAATATAACTATTGTGGCTCAACTAGCGATCACTGCGGTACCGGTTGTCAACCAGGCAAAAGTTTCGCTGGCAAATGTACTGCTTCAAATTCTGCCCAAGATGTTACCACTACCAAACCTACTACTAAAGTCAAAAAGGTTACTAAAAAGAAAAAGAAAACGAAAACTTCATCAGCCCATTAATCAGTCATTAATAGTCATTCATTATCCGTAATGTCACACGTATGGAGACATCACCCAATTCATTATTTGTGTATATTTACAAAAAAAATCCTGTAGCTGTATTTTATATTTCTGTATTTTATTCCCAAACAATCCTTCGACTCTTTTGCCAGCATTTGTATAAATTTACATTCTTTCGATATTATTGTAAATTTAAATAATATTATTATTCTTATTAGTACGTGATTGAATACTTCTCGTTTTTTCTCTATCAATAAACATCAAAATACACCTCTTGAAGAGGCTGAATTTGTTTACTTTCATTATTACATGTATTATAAATCGTGCATGCATTTGCACACAAAAATAAAATGACGACTAAAAAAACTCTGTCAATGAGAAAACAATATATCAGTGCATAGACATACATGCATAAATGTCACTTCTTGTTATTACAAAAAAAGGAACTTTTTAATTGATTGCCACATATGCGGAAAATTAATTTGTGCGAACAAAAGTTTCGATTGTGCTAGGAGTTCGGATTTTCGAAGATCATTTTATTTCATTTTATCAAAGAACTTGTGAAATAATAAAAAAATAAAATGTACACGCGAATATATCGAAATTAACCACACAAAAACATTTTTCGATCCATGGCAAAATCAATGATTTCGCGCGCGTTAAATAAAAATACAATTTAGAAAATTTATTATTAATTAAAAAAGAAACCCGCCCTAATTTATGATACACGGTGTGGATGCAATATATACGAATGATTGATGTGACATGAACGTGTTCTTATCCCGGAAAAATTTTTGGGTCGTGTGTGGTTGATGGAAATAATTAGGAATGAAAAACTCTATCGCTTATGAAATAGTAAAAACATGAGTTGATTGCTAGAATCAAATCATGTTTTCACTGTAATCTTCATCTCTTTTCCTCCTCCCAAAATAAAAATACAATAAATATAATATATATATATATATATGATTAATTAAGTTATATTCCTCCCGTTGACAATTATACTCATCTAACGCTTAATGAGTTTTATTTTTTAAAGAAGAAGTAAAGCTTGTTGCGTTCACATTCCCATTTCCAATAGAGGCCGGATCATTGCCAGTTTTAGTACCGTTGCTGGCTGCATTATCACTATCATTTGATAAGAACGTAGTATTACCACTCAAGAAATCACTCGTATGCTGGAATGGATTCTCGCCATTCGGCAAAGTGGCGTTTGGATTCAAGAATGGAACTTGTCCTTCCATGAATGGGAACGAAACGGAAGGAACTCGTGTTGGAATACCAGTAGATGAGGTTGATGTGGAGGTGCTGGTTGTGGAAGTAGAGGTGGTTGTAGATGTAGTGGAAGTAGATGTGCTAGAAGTGGTTGTTGATGTCGAGGTCGAGGTCGTAGTTGTAGACGTAGTAGTTGGTGTGGGCGTAGGTGTAGGTGTAGGTGTGGGAGTGGGTTTTGGTGGTGGTGGTGGTGGCGGAGGAGCAGCACCACCGCCACTAACCCAGTCCCATGTGATGGGGACACGACCTTGAGACGGGTCTGCTATTTGATTAAAAGCACTTGGTGAAAGATCTAAACTACCAAACAAACATTCTGGGCACTATAAAAAAATGCGTTTATTAGATTTATTACGGATTTTATTATGGTCAATCGAACGCATCCAAATGATCAATCAGATACTTGCCAAGTCCACAATAGTAACGGTGACAGAGCCTTTTGGACCGTGCACTAATGCTTGTGAACCGCAGATAGGATTGCTATTGGGATTAACCGGATTCCCCCATTGTGGATGATTCTAAGATAAGTAAAAATTCGGTTAGAAAATCATCGATAAATGCTATCGTTTGAAGATGTTTATTCCACTTACTAAAGCAGCAATGTAATCACTATTCGAATATGTACCACCGCACGCACTCAAACCGCAATTGTAGAAAGTCCCATCGCCGGAAAATGAACGTTTCACCATCGGCACCGCATCAGTAAAATTCACAGAGGCAAAAATCGCCAAAGTGGCCGTGAATATTGTGCGAAAAGACATTTTTCAGTTGTATATTATCTATTTATCTATTGAACTTTTTAGATGTGCAGACTTTATTGAAGGAAAGGATATAATGTATAGAGTATCCAACTCTTGGTTTTTTTTTTGGAAAGTCAGTTTAGGAATCGAGGTGAGAAAGTGTATACTTCTAGGCAGAAAGAAAATGCAGAACTAAAACAACTGTTTGTGTGGGTTGTTCAATTCGTTCGGTCTAAAGAGAGAAACAATATTGGCGTCAGAAAGGAGAAGAGACAAGTAAAGAAGGAGATGGGTGAGAAAGGAAGAGAAGAAGAGAAAGTCGTAGAAAGTGAAACGCCAAAGAGTGAAAACGGAGACGAGAAGACTAGACCCGACTCTCAATCAATGAGGAAAAAGAGAAAAAAAAGAAACGAAGAAAAACAGCAACCGTGTATGCGAATGCACGCTCTAATTATAATTTTTATATCACGGCCGACATCGCTACTATTGTTGCATTAATTAATTATGGGCAACCACATTAGGAAATGGAACATCAATAGATACGCACAATATCTAGTGTATATTAATTATTTGGTGTACAACGAAAACGTATGGTAGTCAATGGTGTCGTTGTTGTACTTTATTGGCATAATTTATTGATTGCATTTTTTGTATATATTGACGATAAACAACACAACAGAAAATAGAAACATAGAACCAACTAAAGAATGCAGTGTATGATTAATTTTTCGTAATACGCACACATACATGTATATTTTACGCATTATAAACGACTACGTGACACAAACGAAAATTGGGTCTTTGGAAAACGTGGAGAACTAACTATAAATACAAGAAAATGGAATGATTTGATCTTTCTTTTTTAGCGTTGAAAAAGATACTCGAATTTTGATCTAACCACATTTTATTCATGTTTAAGAAAATTTCCGCATCAATTGTAATTTTTTCCCATCTATGTCAAGACCAATTGATTGGTAATTGATTATTTTAATCGATTAAAATAAACCTTCCCGAAACGGTATAGAAAAGTGCCAACTGTTTTTGTATCACCGTCGGCATACAATCACATTGGTGGTGAATTGTTTTTGTTATTCTTTTGATATGTATGAAATTTTAGGATCAAAAGAAAATTTTCAATTTTTTTCCGTAGTTGCTAAAACGAATTAGTCTAGCGCATGTCTTTTGAGTTATGCATACACAAAAAACAACAGACCAGCACACAAAGTTGGAAGAAGCAAGAATTCGAAGCATGTGTGTGATTATTATCGATCTTATTGCATATTAACTGAGATAATGATGCAAGTTCTCGATTTTTTTAGTGTGAAAAATTCTAACGAATAAAATGAAAATGCATATACGGAGGAAAAATATATATGTATATGTATATGTCTTCTGGTTACCAATCAAATATAAATATAATCTCTGATATTTCTTAGCCTACCTTGTCGAACTTATCCTACGGCTTATCAATTACAAATTTTCGTATTTAGTGTGCATATATGCTTATGTGAGATAATTAATTATAATTTAGTTTGATGATGAGCGAGCTTATTTAAACTTTAACTTTATAAAACGTGTCAATATTAATATGCGTTGTGGTTATTTAACGTTAATCCTTAATTAAATAGATGTAATATTAAAATGTATGTCATAAAGCAAAGGGGTTAAATTCAACGTTATACGAGAACGAGTTTCATTGAGAATTTGAATTATATTACGCAAATTATTTATTGCAAACAGAGCTAGGAATGAAGAGTTTTGGCCGAAAATTTGACCTAAATAATTTCAGCTCTAATTATGATGGTTTGGTATGATATGCGCAGCTTTTGGCAAAACAAATGATTCAAATATTTAAATTTAAGAATTGGAAAATGATAAAATTCCGAGTCCATTAAAGAATCGTCAAAATTTTGGTTACCAATGTCAATTTGAAATCGAACATTTAAAAGACACACGAATTGGGGGATTGGCCTAATGGATAAGGCATCTGACTTCGGATCAGGAGATTGCGGGTTCGAGTCCCGTGTCCCTCGTTATTAATAAATAATCATATCATATTATGTTTTTTGATAAACAATATTTATTCAGATATATCGATAACGATAGCGATGAATCTGTCTAGCACTTTACATGACGTGAACAGAAAAAAACTAATCAACTAAAAAAAATGCATTCATGTTCATGCCTGCATATTTCCACTTTTGTAAAATATCATACATGTGATAATTCTGCGTTGTTTACCGTAAAACGCCGCCGTGCAAACTACCCCTCGCTGTATCATACCCACCACCCGGTCTTGTACATAGGTAATGAGTTTTGGAAATTGTAATAAACCCGGGTATAACTGTGTATTGTACCATCCCGTGATTCAGTTCCGGTATTTTATATTCTATTTATGCTCGATTAAGGAAATTCATACGATAAAAACAATAAAGACAAAACTACTGCATTTAAATTGATATGATATTTTTACGAGTTTAGGTAACTAACGTGTATCATTATAATTATGTTCTCCATTAAATATATCCCATTTAATATACCCCTTTACACAAAATCCCCAATATAAAAGACCCTTGCTCCTTATAATATACCCACCGGGTATAAATCAATTTACATGAGAGTAGAATGTAAGTAGTTTGCACGGCGTTTTTGGTAAGTGAAAAGCCCGATTTGTTCGTTTCTTGAAGCAAAGAACCACATATTATGACTCAAGAAAACGATACAGGTCATTAGTTACTCATGTCTACAATAGAATGTTTTATTGTTTTCTCGTTATTTTTTGAAATTAAAAGGTTCATCGTGTCCTGCATGTATTAAATAATTACATGTATGTAAATGGGTATTAAAAGTGCAGAAAATCATATCGTAGAATAAGAGAGACTTGTAATATTGCTTTGTGTATGCGTTTATGTTTCAAAATAAAGGAAGACGAAGAACTTGTAAAAAAAGTCGATTTGTTTATTAAAATTGGTTTTCCCAACAGTATTCATGCTAATATATATTTGTTCATACTTATTTAAATATTTACTAGCATACTGGCGCGTCCATATTTCCGCACTCTGTTGCTCGTAAACTTTGTTATACATGTAATTGTTTGCGTGCTGAATTGAGACATCACTATAGCTTTTTAATGTAATAAATTGATATATATTAGCCCAGCATCTTTATATAATAGAAGGAGGAATGCTGGATATGAATACACGTTGTCTTGATGATCTCCCATTGCTATTTCGGAATTGCCAAAAGATAAGTTTCATTCCATTACAGAGTCCATTAGTCAAGTCTAAGTTTCTAAGCAGCATAATAGAAGTACTGACTTTCAGTATGAGTTCCTATAAAGGAAGAAACTTGAGATATCAAAAAGCTGAGTTGGATATAGGTTCAAGCCACCATTCTACACAAAGTCAAAGCTAAAAGTATATATGCTATTCACTGGGATATCTGATTG